AATTCGTAAAAGTGCCCTCATCCAAATATAAGATTTACTATACTAATGTAATATTTCCATACAATATTGTTACATAAACTTTGTGTAGAAATATCTTTAGAATATATATAAAGAGTTATTATGGCAAACATAGCTTACATTACTCACTCACATTACTTTTCCAATTCCAAAATATGTCACAAGTGCAAGACACGGTGCCGCAAGAGAGAAAATTAATAAGTGTCTGCTTATTTTCTTACTTTCTATCTACACCTTCATGAAGAAGAAATTGACACAAGTCCAAATGCATCTGGCGCCTATAAAATATAATTTAATGTTCAGCGATAAAAAAAATTGATAAGCTAATTATATTAACTTACATATTTTATAAGCGCTTGTTAATTCATTTCTGAAACATTGTATATAACCTTCTTACCTTGTGTAACATTATTGCGAAGAAAAACTAAGACACTTCGACATCAGCTTGAGATGTAGTAGCAGCAGCTCCCAATGCAACACCGCCAATCAACTAGCAGCATCTACTATAAGACCTAAAGTTGCTGTAATACTTTTCTTGTCTTCCTCCACTTTTTCTGGCTGAACATTGATCAATTAAAAGCATAAACCAAGTACTAAACTAATTCCAAGTTAAAGTATGTAAATTGCCTGTAAAAAAAGAAAAAAGAACAGGAATACTATTAATCAGATGTTAATTTCATGAAATATGGTAATCAGTAAACATGCAATTGCACATACTACTATATGAACCTTTTTCATTAGTAATACCATCCACAGTAAATAATGCTCTTACACCCTCAGGTACAGTCAGGTATAATCGCTAGCGCAGTACCAACAAGGAGTCCTGCTCCTAATATTGAAACTAATTGTAACTTGTCCTATGGAAAACATATTGCACGTAAATTACAAGATACAATGAATTCTGATATACACCTATTATATACATACATAATTTTATATTACATAAAATATTCTTCTTCACTTCTATATCTTACTTCTTCTGATAAATTTATTTAACTTAATGGCAGTGATCCAGCTCCAAGACAAGATCCAACAAACATAACAAGAGAAAGCATCCATAGCATTGCTCTCTCCTCCATTTTTATTTAATTATTTAATACTGATGGCAATTTATTTTTAATTTTTAACATTATCATATACATCAATATATATAATATACATTCTTAGACATTATGACATTAGGCATTTGACTAGCAATATTAAATTATAAATTTGCAATTATATATATTGATCTATAATGTCAATGTAATAATTTTTTCGACAGATCAAAATATAAGTAAGATATTCGATGATTTATATACAATAATCATTGAATCGATTAATTAAACCACAAACGTCGACAAGATCGACAGTACTTCAGACCAGGTAATTCCTACATCTCGGAGCATAGACGTATTACGTATACAGATGGAGCATTATATTTATTACATAAAAGGACCGTCTGGAGGACAATGGAGGAATAAAGGAAGATAATTTCATTGTCGCTAAAAGGTAGCGTCAACCATTGGTTGAACAAAGAAGTAAGTAGTTGCTTCATTGTTCAACCAATGGCTGACGCTACATTTTAGCGCCAACGAAATTTTAAACCTTTAAACCTTCAAATTTGCAATTTCGCGCATGTTCGGCAGTCCTCGCGCCTGATTGGGAGTCTTGGCGGCGTGCGCGGCAGTCCTCGCTCCTGATTGGCAGTCTTCGCGCGTCCGCGGCAGTCCTCGCGCCTGATTGGGAGTCTTGGCGGCGTGCGCGGCAGTTCTCGCGCCTGATTGGACGTCTTCGCGCACGCACGGCAGTCCTCGCTCCTGATTGGGAGTCTTCGCGCGTCCGCGTCCGTTCTCGCGCCTGATTGGCGCGTGCAGTCTTGCGCGGCAGTCCTGAATGTCCTAAATATATATACAAGTTTTATTTGTACATATCGATAGGAAATATATACACAAACAACATTCATCCTTTAAAAAAATATCTAAAATTAGTACCCGGATTTTCTATTGTTTCTCTATAATATATATTGATTAACTATCTTGTGCACTGTATGTTATTTCATTACAATAGGTGTCTGTTAAGGAAAAATTACGTAATTTAATAACAGAAATATTGGGCAAATAAATAATATATAAATGAATTTTATTCGTTAAATGCTTAGTACAATTGCTTCTAATGTATCTGTTCTAAATCGTAAAGCATTTTTTTCCCAACTTGCACCATTATATGTTTTGCATACATATATGCATACAACAATTGTATATTGCAGAGATTGCGTTTCGACAGTTTGGATATCTGCAAGCATACTGTAGCAAGCAGAGTAATTTTATGCAACTTCAATTATATAAACTTTACATCAAATTTGTTTCTATAATATAAAACAAAATACTAACACACTTTATTTAAGTATTTTCCTTTATCTAAATTATGTCATTCTGTAGGGCAAGTATCATAAGTGTTTAGATATATCAGTATATGACGTTACGCTTTTGTGCATCAGCAGGAACATTTTTTCCTTTCAGATAATAAATGTTTCTATTAAACAATACGCATATGTATACAGCAAAAGAAACAAGTATAGTGCGCATATGGGTGTAACTGTATGTGTACACATCTTGCGATACATTCCATATACTCTTTAACAAAATTAAAATATTAATTTGTATAATAGGAAGAAAAAATATGTAGGCAAGATAATGAAATCTTTATCTAACGTAATGTAACAATATTATAATATTAATTAATAAGTAATCTTGAAAAATGTACTGTAAAACGATTATTTTGAAGAGTTTTTAAAACAAGTAGGTTCTCCAATCAGTTTCAATCTATTTTAGTTAAAAATATCAGCAGATCATCTATTTCAATGATTTTAGATATATTATAGAAAGGAAAATACTGAATAGCCTTTAATAAACATTAAATATTATTTATTTTTAATTTCGAAATTGTCAGTAGATATATATATAGAGAATTAAAGTCCTTTAATAGAAAGTCCTCTAAATTGTTGGATGTTTTAGATACAAAGTAAGGTCCAAGATTTTTAGCTTAAAAATAAATTCAAAATTATATTCATATTACTTGATACAAGTTTTATTTGTATTATTACCAAAATTGCAAATATTTAAATTAAATTTAGATGAGATTATGAGCAATATGACCATACATATTAATTTTACGTTAATATTAGTATTCTCATATTCTGTACTCATTTAAACAAATTTATTTTAATAAAAACTTTAATTTATTTGTTATTAATTAATTATAATTATTATTTATTTGAAATAAATTGGAATTCTTAAAGTTTTCTTCTTTTTAAGTGACAGGAAAAGGATGTAATTCGTAAAAGTGCCCTCATCCAAATATAAGATTTACTATACTAATGTAATATTTCCATACAATATTGTTACATAAACTTTGTGTAGAAATATCTTTAGAATATATATAAAGAGTTATTATGGCAAACATAGCTTACATTACTCACTCACATTACTTTTCCAATTCCAAAATATGTCACAAGTGCAAGACACGGTGCCGCAAGAGAGAAAATTAATAAGTGTCTGCTTATTTTCTTACTTTCTATCTACACCTTCATGAAGAAGAAATTGACACAAGTCCAAATGCATCTGGCGCCTATAAAATATAATTTAATGTTCAGCGATAAAAAAATTGATAAGCTAATTATATTAACTTACATATTTTATAAGCGCTTGTTAATTCATTTCTGAAACATTGTATATAACCTTCTTACCTTGTGTAACATTATTGCGAAGAAAAACTAAGACACTTCGACATCAGCTTGAGATGTAGTAGCAGCAGCTCCCAATGCAACACCGCCAATCAACTAGCAGCATCTACTATAAGACCTAAAGTTGCTGTAATACTTTTCTTGTCTTCCTCCACTTTTTCTGGCTGAACATTGATCAATTAAAAGCATAAACCAAGTACTAAACTAATTCCAAGTTAAAGTATGTAAATTGCCTGTAAAAAAAGAAAAAAGAACAGGAATACTATTAATCAGATGTTAATTTCATGAAATATGGTAATCAGTAAACATGCAATTGCACATACTACTATGAACCTTTTTCATTAGTAATACCATCCACAGTAAATAATGCTCTTACACCCTCAGGTACAGTCAGGTATAATCGCTAGCGCAGTACCAACAAGGAGTCCTGCTCCTAATATTGAAACTAATTGTAACTTGTCCTATGGAAAACATATTGCACGTAAATTACAAGATACAATGAATTCTGATATACACCTATTATATACATACATAATTTTATATTACATAAAATATTCTTCTTCACTTCTATATCTTACTTCTTCTGATAAATTTATTTAACTTAATGGCAGTGATCCAGCTCCAAGACAAGATCCAACAAACATAACAAGAGAAAGCATCCATAGCATTGCTCTCTCCTCCATTTTTATTTAATTATTTAATACTGATGGCAATTTATTTTTAATTTTTAACATTATCATATACATCAATATATATAATATACATTCTTAGACATTATGACATTAGGCATTTGACTAGCAATATTAAATTATAAATTTGCAATTATATATATTGATCTATAATGTCAATGTAATAATTTTTTCGACAGATCAAAATATAAGTAAGATATTCGATGATTTATATACAATAATCATTGAATCGATTAATTAAACCACAAACGTCGACAAGATCGACAGTACTTCAGACCAGGTAATTCCTACATCTCGGAGCATAGACGTATTACGTATACAGATGGAGCATTATATTTATTACATAAAAGGACCGTCTGGAGGACAATGGAGGAATAAAGGAAGATAATTTCATTGTCGCTAAAAGGTAGCGTCAACCATTGGTTGAACAAAGAAGTAAGTAGTTGCTTCATTGTTCAACCAATGGCTGACGCTACATTTTAGCGCCAACGAAATTTAAACCTTTAAACCTTCAAATTTGCAATTTCGCGCATGTTCGGCAGTCCTCGCGCCTGATTGGGAGTTTGGCGGCGTGCGCGGCAGTCCTCGCTCCTGATTGGCAGTCTTCGCGCGTCCGCGGCAGTCCTCGCGCCTGATTGGGAGTCTTGGCGGCGTGCGCGGCAGTTCTCGCGCCTGATTGGACGTCTTCGCGCACGCACGGCAGTCCTCGCTCCTGATTGGGAGTCTTCGCGCGTCCGCGTCCGTCTCGCGCCTGATTGGCGCGTGCAGTCTTGCGCGGCAGTCCTGAATGTCCTAAATATATATACAAGTTTTATTTGTACATATCGATAGGAAATATATACACAAACAACATTCATTCTTTAAAAAAATATCTAAAATTAGTACCCGGATTATTCTATTGTTTCTCTATAATATATATTGATTAACTATCTTGTGCACTGTATGTTATTTCATTACAATAGGTGTCTGTTAAGGAAAAATTACGTAATTTAATAACAGAAATATTGGGCAAATAAATAATATATAAATGATTTTATTCGTTAAATGCTTAGTACAATTGCTTCTAATGTATCTGTTCTAAATCGTAAAGCATTTTTTTCCCAACTTGCACCATTATATGTTTTGCATACATATATGCATACAACAATTGTATATTGCAGAGATTGCGTTTCGACAGTTTGGATATCTGCAAGCATACTGTAGCAAGCAGAGTAATTTTATGCAACTTCAATTATATAAACTTTACATCAAATTTGTTTCTATAATATAAAACAAAATACTAACACACTTTATTTAAGTATTTGCTTTCTAAATTATGTCATTCTGTAGGGCAAGTATCATAAGTGTTTAGATATATCAGTATATGGTTACGCTTTTGTGCATCAGCAGGAACATTTTTTCCTTTCAGATAATAAATGTTTCTATTAAACAATACGCATATGTATACAGCAAAAGAAACAAGTATAGTGCGCATATGGGTGTAACTGTATGTGTACACATCTTGCGATACATTCCATATACTCTTTAACAAAATTAAAATATTAATTTGTATAATAGGAAGAAAAAATATGTAGGCAAGATAATGAAATCTTTATGTAACGTAATGTAACAATATTATAATATTAATTAATAAGTAATCTTGAAAAATGTACTGTAAAACGATTATTTTGAAGAGTTTTTAAAACAAGTAGGTTCTCCAATCAGTTTCAATCTATTTTAGTTAAAAATATCAGCAGATCATCTATTTCAATGATTTTAGATATATTATAGAAAGGAAAATACTGAATAGCCTTTAATAAACATTAAATATTATTTATTTTTAATTTCGAAATTGTCAGTAGATATATATGTGAGAATTAAAGTCCTTTAATAGAAAGTCGCTCTAAATTGTTGGATGTTTTAGATACAAAGTAAGGTCCAAGATTTTTAGCTTAAAAATAAATTCAAAATTATATTCATATTACTTGATACAAGTTTTATTTGTATTATTACCAAAATTGCAAATATTTAAATTAAATTTAGATGAGATTATGAGCAATATGACCATACATATTAATTTTACGTTAATATTAGTATCTCATATTCTGTACTCATTTAAACAAATTTATTTTAATAAAAACTTAATTTATTTGTTTAATTAATTATAATTATTATTTATTTGAATAAATTGGAAATCTTAAAGTTTTCTTCTTTTTAAGTGACAGGAAAAGGATGTAATTCGTAAAAGTGCCCTTATCCAAATATAAGATTTACTATACTAATGTAATATTTCCATACAATATTGTTACATAAACTTTGTGTAGAAATATCTTTAGAATATATATAAAGAGTTATTATGGCAAACATAGCTTACATTACTCACTTTTCCAATTCCAAAATATGTCACAAGTGTATGTCACAAGACACGGTGCCGCAAGAGAGAAAATTAATAAGTGTCTGCTTATTTTCTTACTTTCTATCTACACCTTCATGAAGAAGAAACTGACACAAGTCCAAATGCATCTGGCGCCTATAAAAAATAATTTAATGTTCAACATGATAAAAAAATTGATAAGCTGATTATATTAACTTACATATTTTACAAGGGCTTGTTAATTCATTTCTGAAACATTGTATATAACCTTCTTACTTTGTGCAACATTATTGCGAAGAAAAACTAAGACACTTCGACATCAGCTTGAGATGTAGTAGCAGCAGCTCCCAACGCAACTCCGCAGCATCTACTATAAGACCTAAAGTTGCTGTAATACATTTCTTGTCTTCCTCCACTTTTTCTGGCTGAACATTGATCGATTAAAAGCATAAACCAAGTACTAAACTAATTCCAATTAAAGTATGTAATGTTGCCTGTAAAAAAAGAAAAAAGAACAGGAATACTATTAATTAGATGTTAATTTCATGAAATATGGTAATCAGTAAACATGCAGTTGCATACCACATGAACCTTTTTCATTAGTAATACCATCCACAGTAAATAATGCTCTTACACCCTCAGGTATAGTCAGGTATAATCGCTAGCGCAGTACCAACAAGGAGTCCTGCTCCTAATATTGAAACTAATTGTAACTTGTCCTATGGAAAACATATTGCACGTAAATTACAAGATACAATGAATTCTGATATACACCTATTATATACATACATAATTTTATATTACATAAAATATTCTTCTTCACTTCTATATCTTACTTCTTCTGATAAATTTATTTAACTTAATGGCAGTGATCCAGCTCCAAGACAAGATCCAACAAACATAACAAGAGAAAGCATCCATAGCATTGCTCTCTCCTCCATTTTTATATAATTATTTAATTATTTAATACTGATGGCAATTTATTTTTAATTTTTAACATTATCATATACATCAATATATATAATATGCATCTTAGACATTATGACATTAGGAATTTGACTATACGATATTAAATTATAAATTTGCAATTATGTATATTGATCTATAATGTCAATGTAATAATTTTTTCGACAGATCAAAATATAAGTAAGATATTCGATGATTTATATACAATAATCATTGAATCGATTAATTAAACCACAAAGGTCGACAAGATCGACAGTACTTCAGACCAGGTAACTCCTACATCTCGGAGCATAGACGTATTACGTATATACAGATGGAGCATTATATTTATTACATAAAAGGACCGTCTGGAGGACAACGGAGGAATAAAGGAAGATAATTTCATTGTCGCTAAAAGGTAGCGTCAGCCATTGGTTGAACAAAGAAGTAAGTAGTTGCTTCATTGTTCAACCAATGGCTGACGCTACATTTTAGCGCCAACGAAATTTAAACCTTTAAACCTTCAAATTTGCAATTTCGCGCATGTTCGGCAGTCCTCGCGCCTGATTGGACGTCTTCGCGCGTCCGCGGCAGTCCTCGCGCCTGATTGGGAGTCTTGGCGGCGTGCGCGGCAGTTCCCGCGCCTGATTGGACGTCTTCGCGCACGCACGGCAGTCCTCGCTCCTGATTGGGTGTCTTCGCGCGTCCGCGTCCGCTCTCGCGCCTGATTGGCGCGTGCAGTCTTGCGCGGCAGTCCTGAATGTCCTAAATATATATACAAGTTTTATTTGTACATATCGATAGGAAATATATACACAAACAACATTCATTCTTTAAAAAAATATCTAAAATTAGTGCCCGGATATTCTATTGTTTCTCTATAATATATATTGATTAACTATCTTGTGCACTCTATGTTATTTCATTACAATCGGTGTATGTTAAGGAAAAATTACGTAATTTAATAACAGAAATATTGGGCAAATAAATAATATATAAATGATTTTATTCGTTAAATGCTTAGCACAATTGCTTCTAATGTATCTGTTCTAAATCGTAAGGCATTTTTTCCCCAACTTGCACCATTATATGTTTTGCATACATATATTTACAACAATTGTATATTGCAGAGATTGCGTTTCGACAGTTTGGATATCTGCAAGCATACTGTAGCAAGCAGAGTAATTTTATGCAACTCCTTCAATTATATAAACTTTACATCAAATTTGTTTCTATAATATAAAACAAAATACTAACACACTTTATTTAAGTATTTGCTCTAAATTGTGTCATTCTGCAGGGCAAGTATCATAAGTGTTTAGATATATCAGTATATGGTTACGCTTTTGTGCATCAGCAGGAACATTTTTTCCTTTCAGATAATAAATGTTTCTATTAAACAATACGCATATGTATATAGCAAAAGAAACAAGTATAGTGCGCATATGGGTGTAACTGTATGTGTGCACATCTTGCGATACATTCCATATACTCTTTAACAAAATTAAAATATTAATTTGTATAATAGGAAGAAAAAATATGTAGGCAAGATAATGAAATCTTTATGTAACGTAATGTAACAATATTATAATATTAATTAATAAGTAATCTTGAAAAATGTACTGTAAAACGATTATTTTGAAGAGTTTTTAAAACAAGTAGGTTCTCCAATCAGTTTCAATCTATTTTAGTTAAAAATATCAGCAGATCATCTATTTCAACGATTTTGGATATATTATAGAAAGGAAAATACTGAACAGCCTTTAATAAACATTAAATATTATTTATTTTTAATTTCGAAATTGTCAGTAGATATATATGTGAGAATTAAAGTCCTTTAATAGAAAGTCGCTCTAAATTGTTGGATGTTTTAGATACAAAGTAAGGTCCAAGATTTTTAGCTTAAAAATAAATTCAAAATTATATTCATATTACTTGATACAAGTTTTATTTGTATTATTACCAAAATTGCAAATATTTAAATTAAATTTAGATGAGATTATGAGCAATATGACCATACATATTAATTTTACGTTAATATTAGTACTCTCATATTCTGTACTCATTTAAACAAATTTATTTTAATAAAAACTATAATTTATTTGTTTAATTAATTATAATTATTATTTATTTGAAGTAAATTGGAAATCTTAAAGTTTTCTTCTTTTTAAGTGACAGGAAAAGGATGTAATTCGTAAAAGTGCCCTTATCCAAATATAAGATTTACTATACTAATGTAATATTTCCATACAATATTGTTACATAAACTTTGTGTAGAAATATCTTTAGAATATATATATAAAGAGTTATTATGGCAAACATAGCTTACATTACTCACTTTTCCAATTCCAAAATATGTCACAAGTGTATGTCACAAGACACGGTGCCGCAAGAGAGAAAATTAATAAGTGTCTGCTTATTTTCTTACTTTCTATCTACACCTTCATGAAGAAGAAACTGACACAAGTCCAAATGCATCTGGCGCCTATAAAAAATAATTTAATGTTCAACATGATAATAAAAATTGATAAGCTGATTATATTTAACTTACATATTTTACAAGGGCTTGTTAATTCATTTCTGAAACATTGTATATAACCTTCTTACTTTGTGCAACATTATTGCGAAGAAAAACTAAGACACTTCGACATCAGCTTGAGATGTAGTAGCAGCAGCTCCCAACGCAACTCCGCAGCATCTACTATAAGACCTAAAGTTGCTGTAATACATTTCTTGTCTTCCTCCACTTTTTCTGGCTGAACATTGATCGATTAAAAGCATAAACCAAGTACTAAACTAATTCCAATTAAAGTATGTAATGTTGCCTGTAAAAAAAGAAAAAAGAACAGGAATACTATTAATTAGATGTTAATTTCATGAAATATGGTAATCAGTAAACATGCAGTTGCATACCACATGAACCTTTTTCATTAGTAATACCATCCACAGTAAATAATGCTCTTACACCCTCAGGTATAGTCAGGTATAATCGCTAGCGCAGTACCAACAAGGAGTCCTGCTCCTAATATTGAAACTAATTGTAACTTGTCCTATGGAAAACATATTGCACGTAAATTACAAGATACAATGAATTCTGATATACACCTATTATATACATACATAATTTTATATTACATAAAATATTCTTCTTCACTTCTATATCTTACTTCTTCTGATAAATTTATTTAACTTAATGGCAGTGATCCAGCTCCAAGACAAGATCCAACAAACATAACAAGAGAAAGCATCCATAGCATTGCTCTCTCCTCCATTTTTATATAATTATTTAATTATTTAATACTGATGGCAATTTATTTTTAATTTTTAACATTATCATATACATCAATATATATAATATGCATCTTAGACATTATGACATTAGGAATTTGACTATACGATATTAAATTATAAATTTGCAATTATGTATATTGATCTATAATGTCAATGTAATAATTTTTTCGACAGATCAAAATATAAGTAAGATATTCGATGATTTATATACAATAATCATTGAATCGATTAATTAAACCACAAAGGTCGACAAGATCGACAGTACTTCAGACCAGGTAACTCCTACATCTCGGAGCATAGACGTATTACGTATATACAGATGGAGCATTATATTTATTACATAAAAGGACCGTCTGGAGGACAACGGAGGAATAAAGGAAGATAATTTCATTGTCGCTAAAAGGTAGCGTCAGCCATTGGTTGAACAAAGAAGTAAGTAGTTGCTTCATTGTTCAACCAATGGCTGACGCTACATTTTAGCGCCAACGAAATTTAAACCTTTAAACCTTCAAATTTGCAATTTCGCGCATGTTCGGCAGTCCTCGCGCCTGATTGGACGTCTTCGCGCGTCCGCGGCAGTCCTCGCGCCTGATTGGGAGTCTTGGCGGCGTGCGCGGCAGTTCCCGCGCCTGATTGGACGTCTTCGCGCACGCACGGCAGTCCTCGCTCCTGATTGGGTGTCTTCGCGCGTCCGCGTCCGCTCTCGCGCCTGATTGGCGCGTGCAGTCTTGCGCGGCAGTCCTGAATGTCCTAAATATATATACAAGTTTTATTTGTACATATCGATAGGAAATATATACACAAACAACATTCATTCTTTAAAAAAATATCTAAAATTAGTGCCCGGATATTCTATTGTTTCTCTATAATATATATTGATTAACTATCTTGTGCACTCTATGTTATTTCATTACAATCGGTGTATGTTAAGGAAAAATTACGTAATTTAATAACAGAAATATTGGGCAAATAAATAATATATAAATGATTTTATTCGTTAAATGCTTAGCACAATTGCTTCTAATGTATCTGTTCTAAATCGTAAGGCATTTTTTCCCCAACTTGCACCATTATATGTTTTGCATACATATATTTACAACAATTGTATATTGCAGAGATTGCGTTTCGACAGTTTGGATATCTGCAAGCATACTGTAGCAAGCAGAGTAATTTTATGCAACTCCTTCAATTATATAAACTTTACATCAAATTTGTTTCTATAATATAAAACAAAATACTAACACACTTTATTTAAGTATTTGCTCTAAATTGTGTCATTCTGCAGGGCAAGTATCATAAGTGTTTAGATATATCAGTATATGGTTACGCTTTTGTGCATCAGCAGGAACATTTTTTCCTTTCAGATAATAAATGTTTCTATTAAACAATACGCATATGTATATAGCAAAAGAAACAAGTATAGTGCGCATATGGGTGTAACTGTATGTGTGCACATCTTGCGATACATTCCATATACTCTTTAACAAAATTAAAATATTAATTTGTATAATAGGAAGAAAAAATATGTAGGCAAGATAATGAAATCTTTATGTAACGTAATGTAACAATATTATAATATTAATTAATAAGTAATCTTGAAAAATGTACTGTAAAACGATTATTTTGAAGAGTTTTTAAAACAAGTAGGTTCTCCAATCAGTTTCAATCTATTTTAGTTAAAAATATCAGCAGATCATCTATTTCAACGATTTTGGATATATTATAGAAAGGAAAATACTGAACAGCCTTTAATAAACATTAAATATTATTTATTTTTAATTTCGAAATTGTCAGTAGATATATATGTGAGAATTAAAGTCCTTTAATAGAAAGTCGCTCTAAATTGTTGGATGTTTTAGATACAAAGTAAGGTCCAAGATTTTTAGCTTAAAAATAAATTCAAAATTATATTCATATTACTTGATACAAGTTTTATTTGTATTATTACCAAAATTGCAAATATTTAAATTAAATTTAGATGAGATTATGAGCAATATGACCATACATATTAATTTTACGTTAATATTAGTACTCTCATATTCTGTACTCATTTAAACAAATTTATTTTAATAAAAACTATAATTTATTTGTTTAATTAATTATAATTATTATTTATTTGAAGTAAATTGGAAATCTTAAAGTTTTCTTCTTTTTAAGTGACAGGAAAAGGATGTAATTCGTAAAAGTGCCCTTATCCAAATATAAGATTTACTATACTAATGTAATATTTCCATACAATATTGTTACATAAACTTTGTGTAGAAATATCTTTAGAATATATATATAAAGAGTTATTATGGCAAACATAGCTTACATTACTCACTTTTCCAATTCCAAAATATGTCACAAGTGTATGTCACAAGACACGGTGCCGCAAGAGAGAAAATTAATAAGTGTCTGCTTATTTTCTTACTTTCTATCTACACCTTCATGAAGAAGAAACTGACACAAGTCCAAATGCATCTGGCGCCTATAAAAAATAATTTAATGTTCAACATGATAATAAAAATTGATAAGCTGATTATATTTAACTTACATATTTTACAAGGGCTTGTTAATTCATTTCTGAAACATTGTATATAACCTTCTTACTTGTGCAACATTATTGCGAAGAAAAACTAAGACACTTCGACATCAGCTTGAGATGTAGTAGCAGCAGCTCCCAACGCAACTCCGCAGCATCTACTATAAGACCTAAAGTTGCTGTAATACATTTCTTGTCTTCCTCCACTTTTTCTGGCTGAACATTGATCAATTAAAAGCATAAACCAAGTACTAAACTAATTCCAATTAAAGTATGTAAATTGCCTGTAAAAAAAGAAAAAAGAACAGGAATACTATTAATTAGATGTTAATTTCATGAAATATGGTAATCAGTAAACATGCAGTTGCATACCACATGAACCTTTTTCATTAGTAATACCATCCACAGTAAATAATGCTCTTACACCCTCAGGTATAGTCAGGTATAATCGCTAGCGCAGTACCAACAAGGAGTCCTGCTCCTAATATTGAAACTAATTGTAACTTGTCCTATGGAAAACATATTGCACGTAAATTACAAGATACAATGAATTCTGATATACACCTATTATATACATACATAATTTTATATTACATAAAATATTCTTCTTCACTTCTATATCTTACTTCTTCTGATAAATTTATTTAACTTAATGGCAGTGATCCAGCTCCAAGACAAGATCCAACAAACATAACAAGAGAAAGCATCCATAGCATTGCTCTCTCCTCCATTTTTATATAATTATTTAATTATTTAATACTGATGGCAATTTATTTTTAATTTTTAACATTATCATATACATCAATATATATAATATACATTCTTAGACATTATGACATTAGGCATTTGACTAGCAATATTAAATTATAAATTTGCAATTATATATATTGATCTATAATGTCAATGTAATAATTTTTTCGACAGATCAAAATATAAGTAAGATATTCGATGATTTATATACAATAATCATTGAATCGATTAATTAAACCACAAACGTCGACAAGATCGACAGTACTTCAGACCAGGTAATTCCTACATCTCGGAGCATAGACGTATTACGTATACAGATGGAGCATTATATTTATTACATAAAAGGACCGTCTGGAGGACAATGGAGGAATAAAGGAAGATAATTTCATTGTCGCTAAAAGGTAGCGTCAACCATTGGTTGAACAAAGAAGTAAGTAGTTGCTTCATTGTTCAACCAATGGCTGACGCTACATTTTAGCGCCAACGAAATTTTAAACCTTTAAACCTTCAAATTTGCAATTTCGCGCATGTTGATTCGGCAGTCCTCGGCGCCTGATTGGCAGTCTTCGCGCGTCCGCGGCAGTCCTCGCGCCTGATTGGGAGTCTTGGCGGCGTGCGCGGCAGTTCTCGCGCCTGATTGGACGTCTTCGCGCACGCACGGCAGTCCTCGCTCCTGATTGGGAGTCTTCGCGCGTCCGCGTCCGTTCTCGCGCCTGATTGGCGCGTGCAGTCTTGCGCGGCAGTCCTGAATGTCCTAAATATATATACAAGTTTTATTTGTACATATCGATAGGAAATATATACACAAACAACATTCATCCTTTAAAAAAATATCTAAAATTAGTACCCGGATTTTCTATTGTTTCTCTATAATATATATTGATTAACTATCTTGTGCACTGTATGTTATTTCATTACAATAGGTGTCTGTTAAGGAAAAATTACGTAATTTAATAACAGAAATATTGGGCAAATAAATAATATATAAATGAATTTTATTCGTTAAATGCTTAGTACAATTGCTTCTAATGTATCTGTTCTAAATCGTAAAGCATTTTTTCCCCAACTTGCACCATTATATGTTTTGCATACATATATGCATACAACAATTGTATATTGCAGAGATTGCGTTTCGACAGTTTGGATATCTGCAAGCATACTGTAGCAAGCAGAGTAATTTTATGCAACTTCAATTATATAAACTTTACATCAAATTTGTTTCTATAATATAAAACAAAATACTAACACACTTTATTTAAGTATTTTCCTTATCTAAATTATGTCATTCTGTAGGGCAAGTATCATAAGTGTTTAGATATATCAGTATATGACGTTACGCTTTTGTGCATCAGCAGGAACATTTTTTCCTTTCAGATAATAAATGTTTCTATTAAACAATACGCATATGTATACAGCAAAAGAAACAAGTATAGTGCGCATATGGGTGTAACTGTATGTGTACACATCTTGCGATACATTCCATATACTCTTTAACAAAATTAAAATATTAATTTGTATAATAGGAAGAAAAAATATGTAGGCAAGATAATGAAATCTTTATCTAACGTAATGTAACAATATTATAATATTAATTAATAAGTAATCTTGAAAAATGTACTGTAAAACGATTATTTTGAAGAGTTTTTAAAACAAGTAGGTTCTCCAATCAGTTTCAATCTATTTTAGTTAAAAATATCAGCAGATCATCTATTTCAATGATTTTAGATATATTATAGAAAGGAAAATACTGAATAGCCTTTAATAAACATTAAATATTATTTATTTTTAATTTCGAAATTGTCAGTAGATATATATATAGAGAATTAAAGTCCTTTAATAGAAAGTCCCTCTAAATTGTTGGATGTTTTAGATACAAAGTAAGGTCCAAGATTTTTAGCTTAAAAATAAATTCAAAATTATATTCATATTACTTGATACAAGTTTTATTTGTATTATTACCAAAATTGCAAATATTTAAATTAAATTTAGATGAGATTATGAGCAATATGACCATACATATTAATTTTACGTTAATATTAGTATTCTCATATTCTGTACTCATTTAAACAAATTTATTTTAATAAAAACTTTAATTTATTGTTATTAATTAATTATAATTATTATTTATTTGAAATAAATTGGAAGTTCTTAAAGTTTTCTTCTTTTTAAGTGACAGGAAAAGGATGTAATTCGTAAAAGTGCCCTCATCCAAATATAAGATTTACTATACTAATGTAATATTTCCATACAATATTGTTACATAAACTTTGTGTAGAAATATCTTTAGAATATATATAAAGAGTTATTATGGCAAACATAGCTTACATTACTCACTCCATTACTTTTCCAATTCCAAAATATGTCACAAGTGCAAGACACGGTGCCGCAAGAGAGAAAATTAATAAGTGTCTGCTTATTTTCTTACTTTCTATCTACACCTTCATGAAGAAGAAATTGACACAAGTCCAAATGCATCTGGCGCCTATAAAATATAATTTAATGTTCAGCGATAAAAAAAATTGATAAGCTAATTATATTAACTTACATATTTTATAAGCGCTTGTTAATTCATTTCTGAAACATTGTATATAACCTTCTTACCTTGTGTAACATTATTGCGAAGAAAAACTAAGACACTTCGACATCAGCTTGAGATGTAGTAGCAGCAGCTCCCAATGCAACACCGCCAATCAACTAGCAGCATCTACTATAAGACCTAAAGTTGCTGTAATACTTTTCTTGTCTTCCTCCACTTTTTCTGGCTGAACATTGATCAATTAAAAGCATAAACCAAGTACTAAACTAATTCCAAGTTAAAGTATGTAAATTGCCTGTAAAAAAAGAAAAAAGAACAGGAATACTATTAATCAGATGTTAATTTCATGAAATATGGTAATCAGTAAACATGCAATTGCACATACTACTATGAACCTTTTTCATTAGTAATACCATCCACAGTAAATAATGCTCTTACACCCTCAGGTACAGTCAGGTATAATCGCTAGCGCAGTACCAACAAGGAGTCCTGCTCCTAATATTGAAACTAATTGTAACTTGTCCTATGGAAAACATATTGCACGTAAATTACAAGATACAATGAATTCTGATATACACCTATTATATACATACATAATTTTATATTACATAAAATATTCTTCTTCACTTCTATATCTTACTTCTTCTGATAAATTTATTTAACTTAATGGCAGTGATCCAGCTCCAAGACAAGATCCAACAAACATAACAAGAGAAAGCATCCATAGCATTGCTCTCTCCTCCATTTTTATTTAATTATTTAATACTGATGGCAATTTATTTTTAATTTTTAACATTATCATATACATCAATATATATAATATACATTCTTAGACATTATGACATTAGGCATTTGACTAGCAATATTAAATTATAAATTTGCAATTATATATATTGATCTATAATGTCAATGTAATAATTTTTTCGACAGATCAAAATATAAGTAAGATATTCGATGATTTATATACAATAATCATTGAATCGATTAATTAAACCACAAACGTCGACAAGATCGACAGTACTTCAGACCAGGTAATTCCTACATCTCGGAGCATAGACGTATTACGTATACAGATGGAGCATTATATTTATTACATAAAAGGACCGTCTGGAGGACAATGGAGGAATAAAGGAAGATAATTTCATTGTCGCTAAAAGGTAGCGTCAACCATTGGTTGAACAAAGAAGTAAGTAGTTGCTTCATTGTTCAACCAATGGCTGACGCTACATTTTAGCGCCAACGAAATTTAAACCTTTAAACCTTCAAATTTGCAATTTCGCGCATGTTCGGCAGTCCTCGCGCCTGATTGGAGTCTTGCGCGTGCGCGGCAGTCTCGCTCCTGATGGCAGTCTTCGCGCGTCCGCGGCAGTCCTCGCGCCTGATTGGGAGTCTTGGCGGCGTGCGCGGCAGTTCTCGCGCCTGATTGGACGTCTTCGCGCACGCACGGCAGTCCTCGCTCCTGATTGGGAGTCTTCGCGCGTCCGCGTCCGTTCTCGCGCCTGATTGGCGCGTGCAGTCTTGCGCGGCAGTCCTGAATGTCCTAAATATATATACAAGTTTTATTTGTACATATCGATAGGAAATATATACACAAACAACATTCATCCTTTAAAAAAATATCTAAAATTAGTACCCGGATTTTCTATTGTTTCTCTATAATATATATTGATTAACTATCTTGTGCACTGTATGTTATTTCATTACAATAGGTGTCTGTTAAGGAAAAATTACGTAATTTAATAACAGAAATATTGGGCAAATAAATAATATATAAATGAATTTTATTCGTTAAATGCTTAGACAATTGCTTCTAATGTATCTGTTCTAAATCGTAAAGCATTTTTTCCCCAACTTGCACCATTATATGTTTTGCATACATATATGCATACAACAATTGTATATTGCAGAGATTGCGTTTCGACAGTTTGGATATCTGCAAGCATACTGTAGCAAGCAGAGTAATTTTATGCAACTTCAATTATATAAACTTTACATCAAATTTGTTTCTATAATATAAAACAAAATACTAACACACTTTATTTAAGTATTTTCCTTCTAAATTATGTCATTCTGTAGGGCAAGTATCATAAGTGTTTAGATATATCAGTATATGACGTTACGCTTTTGTGCATCAGCAGGAACATTTTTTCCTTTCAGATAATAAATGTTTCTATTAAACAATACGCATATGTATACAGCAAAAGAAACAAGTATAGTGCGCATATGGGTGTAACTGTATGTGTACACATCTTGCGATACATTCCATATACTCTTTAACAAAATTAAAATATTAATTTGTATAATAGGAAGAAAAAATATGTAGGCAAGATAATGAAATCTTTATCTAACGTAATGTAACAATATTATTAATATTAATTAATAAGTAATCTTGAAAAATGTACTGTAAAACGATTATTTTGAAGAGTTTTTAAAACAAGTAGGTTCTCCAATCAGTTTCAATCTATTTTAGTTAAAAATATCAGCAGATCATCTATTTCAATGATTTTGATATATTATAGAAAGGAAAATACTGAATAGCCTTTAATAAACATTAAATATTATTTATTTTTTAATTTCGAAATTGTCAGTAGATATATATATGAGAATTAAAGTCCTTTAATAGAAAGTCGCTCTAAATTGTTGGATGTTTTAGATACAAAGTAAGGTCCAAGATTTTAGCTTAAAAATAAATTCAAAATTATATTCATATTACTTGATACAAGTTTTATTTGTATTATTACCAAAATTGCAAATATTTAAATTAAATTTAGATGAGATTATGAGCAATATGACCATACATATTAATTTTACGTTAATATTAGTACTCTCATATTCTGTACTCATTTAAACAAATTTATTTTAATAAAACTTAATTTATTGT